GAAGGAACTGGGAGTGACTGGGAATATGCTGGAGGGAACTGGTGTACACTGGGAGAGACTGGGAGTGATTGGAACGAAAGTGAGGGTGAAAGAAAGCAGCTGGAGCCATGTGGTCCACAACTGGTTCATACTGGCAGTGTCTGGGAGCACACTGGAGTCATATTTGGATCCTATTGGGCGTGACTGGACTAATACTGGGACTATCTGAGAGTGACTGGGATCGTACCATTCACATCATCCCCCATACTGGGGGTGACTGCGAGCAACTGGGAGCATGCTGGCATCATAGTGGGACTGACTGGGTTGGTCAAGGAAGCAACTGGACCATACTGGTAGTGATGCCATGTGACGAGGATCATACTGGAGGTTACTGGGGTCACAATGGTGCTGACAGGGAGCAACTGGGATCACACTTTGGGCTACTGGGAGCAACTGAGAAAACTTGGATTGTGCTTCAAGCAATTTGGAGTAACTGGGAATGACTGGGCTTGTATGCATGCTGGAGCCAACTGGGATGTTCTGGGCATGACTGGGATCATACATTGGAAAACTAACACCTTACTGGGACCACTGAGAGTGTCTGGGAATGACTATGGACATGCTGAGGGCAACTGGGATATACTGGGAGTGTCTGTAACCATACTAGGGGTGACTGGTATTAACTGAGATTTACAGAGCCTTTACTGGGGACAACTGGAAGTGATCCCCTTCTCTCCCCCAGCCCTCCCTCAGGCACGGTCACATCTCCCAGCCTGGATCTGCCTGGAGCAGCACGATGGCTCCAGCGCTGGGGCTGGGGGTACTTCGGGGGGGCAGCAAGGGGGGAGTGGGACCCCCGGCACCAGGACCCCCCTGCTCCCCTTATCGTGCACAGGGACCCCCCTGAATCCCCTTTTCTGGACATCAGGACTCCCCCTGCTCCCTTTTCCCAGCCATCCCATGGCTCCCAGCCTCCAGACTTCCTGTGTGCCTGACCCTGGGACACTCTGGAATGCCTTGGACCCCCATTCCTGCCTTTCCCAGACCTCAGCCCCACCTTTTTGCAAAAGCAGAGACCCCCTGAACTCCCCCTTCCTGAACATCCTGGGTGTCCCCACCCTGCTGGACACCTGGGCTAGAGAACACGGCATTGAGTGGGTGTACCATATCCCCTACCACACAACAGCTGCAGGGAAAGTTGAACGGTGCAATGGCCTGCTTAAAACCACCTTGAAGGCACTGGGTGGGGGAACTTTCAACAACTGGGAGATTAATCTACCAAAGGCCACCTGGTTAGTGAACACC